TATGAAACAAGCACTAGAGAAGGATAACCCAGGAACTAACTTTAGTTTTTCACCGACATCGGTCTATCATCAAAATTAATTTCACACAATTGTTATTATCAATTCCTTAATAATGTTCAACATAATGTACTCTCCATAGAATTAAAATTATTGTAAGGATTGTAAAATAATGTGATTATATTTGTTAAACTTTTAGGCTAATGATTTTAGTTGTTAAGGCCTAATTAAGTGAATAATAATAATAAAATAATTTATTTAAGAATTATACTGTAGATTTGTAGTTAAATTTAAAAGTATTAAAAACATTGACTCAGTGTATAATCATATTTTCAAAGTTCATATCATTTTTCACTATAATATCACCATTATTCATTTTTGTCAACGATATTTGTATGATTTTATTCAATTTGCAACAGATGTTTTAATAAATGATGGTTTTACGAGTAAGTAATATTTCTAAAATATAATATTTTTTGTATTAATTTAATAACATAACGTCATAACGATGAAGAGTGATTTTAGATTCTGAGCGAAGCGATGAATGTATTGATTTTACAATGATGTGTGTTTTATTATTTCTATTTTTTGTGTCTGTGTAAGTAGTCGAAATAATGTTTCGATTTTCAACTTCAGTATTTTGTTTGGCGGGAAAGTGAATCTAGTTGGTGCATAGGGGAGATCAAAATTTAAAATTCCCAGTTGTTTTCCAAATTAGGAAAAGCGGGAATTTTTGCGCGAAACCGGTTTTCGACAAAATCGATTTTGATTTTTGGTGTAACTCTAAACTAAATGACCGTAAAAATATATACATATACATGAAAAGTTCATTTAATGTTAATTGTAGTATTTTCTGTATACAATATAATTTTAAAAATATTTTGACTATTATATTATCTAGTTATTGGCTTATGAAATTTTGGATACAAATGAATGTCGTTACAAAATTGTTGACTTGTTTTGAGCTGTTTACAGACATTTTCAGTTTCCAATTATTTTAGTTTTTTCTATAAATGTCAATAAAATGTATTTGTTGAGTCAAAAATATTGAAAATTTAATACAAGGTTCCTGATATATTTTTATGACATCAGTCGAAAATCATTCAAAATACATGTGTACAATTTTTTTTTTATAGGAATTTTAAGTAAACATTTTGACAACATTTATCAAAATGAAAATTCACAAATTATTTTGCAGGTTGTTAAAAATGTATAAAATGTTCAACTTTTATAGGTAAGGTTTGAACATGTAAAACAAGGTTCCACGTTAGTGGATTAGTGGTTAGTGGTTGTTCTGTAACAAAAAAACCTAAAAATAAACAAACAAAGTTTCTTTATATTTATTTTATGTTCGAATTTGGACGAAATCACATATTAAATAACCAAGAATAATGATTTAATTAATTTTGTTGTTATTTAAAAATATTATTCGTGGATACTTAAAACTTCAAGGCTATATTATTATATTTTATACCATCACACAATGACTTTTAAAATGCGATTTTATCGCCAAAAATAAATTTAACCTACTGTAGTACTAGTGCTTAAATGTCTAATAGTAAAATAAATTACTCTAATCATAATACATCATTAATTAATATAGGTACTAAGTAATATTATAGGCTGACAGACCGTTTTCGCTCAGAATCGTTTTTCGTATACAATCATTTGGGATCATTGAATTCAAATTTAACACCATTCATTACAGTGACCCACTTGGAATCTACTGTACAGCATATCGAAATCCACTTTCCTGCTTTTTAATTTTATGTTTTATTGTGATCATTGACTAGTGACTATCGTAGTGATTGTATAAGTATAAGACATTTTAAACATTACATGTTTTTTTTGCTTTCATGTATAATAAATTAATAAATAACATTGCTATTGTAAAATATAATTAACAGATGAATACATAGGGTCTGAATGAAAACACGAAATACCAGATATTACTAAGAATACTGAGAACCAGTTATGTTCTAGAATTTGGGTTACCAAACCAGTTTATGATGACTTAAAAATCTTTTTATACATTTTATCAAACATTCTTAGTATCTATGTTAATAAAAATAGGATAATGTATTTTACTATCTCTTGCTTTTATATGTAAATTTAGTATTAATTGTACTATACCATACAAAATGTTAAGTTGAAAACTATAACGGTCGAACGGGTTATTAACAAAAATATTAGTTGATTATGATAAATTGATAATCATAATTTATTGCCGAAATTAAATACTATATTTTTTAGACCGAAACAACTTCAAACCTATATAGTTGTATCACTCATATACCACTCAACAAAAAACCACTTTAGAAGACCATAATATACATATGAATACATTCTATTACGTAAGTCTTATAATGCGCACGCATCCTTTACAAATCATAGTTCAATAACACATATAATTACATAGGCCTATATTATAAATAATCGGTTAATAGAATTGTTTGATTTACCTAATGTAAAATATAATGTTACTTACTCAAAGTGATGGATAGAAAAAAAATGTATTATACTAAGTATGTTTAGGTACTCACTTATTTGGCAAATCGATGTAGTGGTTTCTTCTATATCTGTGATCAAAATGTGTTAGTAGGTTTTTAAATTATTTTTCACACAAACGAATGCGAATGCTAAAATTAACATATTGTTCCAAACTTCCAAATTCGCTTATAATAATATAATATCAAAACAATAATTACTCTGAACAACATTTCGGCTACTTATCAAAATAGTTAATTGTAGTTGGGTAATATTTATGTTGGTGTACAATAAACAACGGGTTGTTGTAACTTGTTGTTAATACTAGAACTCATATAGTAATATTTGTATGAGTATGAATACTTTATTTATTTTACCCACGAATAGCGTGCTATACCAGTTATATAACTGATAGGTATATCAACGTTACAGTAAAATATGTTAAATTTATATTAACGTTATTAACTAGCAATTAACGCTAATAGATAATAATGAATATTTTACAAGGTTTATAATGTTAATTACTAAGGATTTACGTTAATTTCAAATAATATTAGTTAATCATGTTATTTGTATTTAAATATTGTTATATTATTATTTATTTTCCGATGATAATGCAAACTATGACATTTCGAATTGCATAATTTCCTAACTACTCGATAGGTGAATTTATTTGTTTTACACTTCATCTCACCGTGACATCTTTGATAGTCTTATGTACTTATAAGACTACTACATCCTGCTGCTTCTTGAAGTGTTATCTCTTTTACTTTAGATAGTTCAAGCAGGGTTTTGAGATCAAGCCAAATTTCTTTGCATGGCACAAGTTGAGATCTCGTATACTTGTGTTTAAGAAAATCATTTTGGGTACATAATACAAATATAAATACATTAATACCAATAAAAAATGTAAATATCCAACAAATTATGTGCGATCTCTTCCAAACGTTTACTCGATAAAGCTCTAAGTAACACGAATTTCGTAAGATGGTCTTGATAATTTAAAATGAAGCGGAATCCATTAATATTTTGTTATTGCATATCAATTAAATCGATTTATCGATTTGAGCTCTTGCATTGGAAGTGCACAGGACTTGATGACTTTTTCTGGCAATGTATGTATGGATTTAAATATGCCACAATACCTGCGTGGTAGCCAATAGTGAAATATAGAATATGATATATTAGAACGGGGGTGCAAAGCGGTTTTTGAACAATAACGGATTTATTCTTAAACTATCTACCTGCACACACGCAGGACATACCAACCCGCCCATGATTGCGAACCTAACTTAAAATAATAATAACCTGGTAATAGATAACAAAAGAAAATATTTACTGTTAAAAAAAAGTATTTTGTAATTTAATATTTTAGTTGTTGTTATATTCTTAAATAAAATGTCAAATGACAAAATTAGTTTTTAGTGATAACATTGTTGAAATGGCAATTAAATAAAATAAACATAAATGTTATATTATTGCAACAAAGAACTATTGTAATCAACATATTAAGGAATTCATTTGTTGATGTCAAGACTAAATTACTGTAAAATTATAAAAACCACGTGAGGATTGTTTTAGTAACAAACAAACAAACAAATAATTAATAAACAAATTAACAAGTAGTATATTTCCAATATAATATGAAGCTGCAATTCATAAGTACATATTTTAGTTTATTTACATTGGACAACATTTTCAATTAAAAATTAAATTAATATTATTTGATCATTTCCACATAGCATATCAATATATAAAAAACATTCAAACATAATATTAAAACATATTGAAAATGTGATACATTTCCAGAAAATATTTTCTGGTATGTCAAATTTCAAAATAATTAAAAACAACCGTTAGTTATATTTTGGAGAAGTCGAATGTTTAATATTTTTTTTATAATTTTGATAAAACTGATGTAATTAAAAAAAAATTAAAACACGTTTAAACCCGTATTGTTTAGTAATTACTGCAATACAAACCAAATTATTTTATTGTAGACTATGCATAAGTACATTTTTATCTTAATTCTTTAAACAAGAAATATATAGTGTGGGTTCAGATATATAACCATGTACATTTTGGAATCAGGACACAAAAACAAGGAAATACGAAAAAGGTGGTCTAGAGAGTTTTGTTTAAACATTGGTGTAAAAAGATTTAGTATTCGATTTAAAAGAAATAAAAATCGATTTCTTTCCTTAACTTTATTAATTACATTTTATTTTTAAAACAATAGTAAATTTAAAACTAATCGAGTTCGAAATTACATAAAAACAATTCCACTGTAAAATCACGGAGAAATGTTTTACTACATAAATTGTGTTAAAAACTTTATGTACCAACGCTAAGATTTTTCCAGACTAGCCAATTTCATTTCACTAACATACAGTATAATTACTAGAGAATATAATTTGAAAGTAAAGTTGAGTTCTAAAATCCCATTTTCAAATTTGTAATAAGTTTTTTTTTTAGACGGGGTATTATTTTTGTGCTTTTCCATACAGTGATCTCTATTTCTTGAAGTGTTTTGAAACATGCCGTAGGATGAAACAGTTTTCGGCTGGCGGAAGTGGACCTGGGACGCGTTAGTCGAGAACCAAAATCTGTTATAGATCAGCTGTGACGTGACCTTGAAAATCGTAGTTCTGGATTCTCATGTCATATTATATGATGTACCTACGTTTATTAAACACTCTCGTATTTGGTTTTAAAGTGATCTTATGACTTTGATATCTAAAAAAAGTTAATGTATCTGTTGAATGTCAAGTAAATTTCAGAAAATTTTTTTATTTATTTATATTATGCTCTGTTCTTGTCTTGTGATAGAATTAAATTCATACTCAATTAATTTTACAAAACTATTTGAGTTATAAGTTATAACCCAGCCGAGCATCTCAAATATGATTTTATTCAAACAGCTATGGTCATAAGAAATGTACGCCTCCCCAGTGAAATATTTGGATTGTAATAATTTTGATACTTACTTGAAGACTTTAGGCATATTATATTAAATTAATGCAATTCAATGGTCCTTTTTTACTATTTAACGATAATTTGGATTAATGGGTTGTATAATATTATGTACGAACGGATATGACTAGTAATTCACGTCGATTAAAAGTGGGGGAGGGGCGTCAACTTTAATTCCTTCGGGGCTTATCCAAGTGTGGGCAATTTCGTATATCATTAAGCTTCTGTTAAACACGTTTAAGATTAAGACTATTTATAATTTATACATTAAATTTAGTTCGTCTTCTATGGAACTGATTATTTAACGTTTTTTTTTTACTAAATAATTTGTTTTTAACCAATCGGATTACACATAAAAAGCCATACCTAAATACACTTAATTTGTATATGTCGTAACTAAAAAATAAATTTAGGTAACAGTTGACAATGATGAAAAATGTCAAATTACTAGTTTTCAATTCATTTTAGGTTTTAAATAATATAATAGGCTAGATTGTTTGTTGAATTTCTGTTTGATATTTCAAGTGTAACATAATTTTTAGCATAAATATTTGAGCACCATGTACATTCAAATAGCTTATACAGAAAATTATTTGCAATCGATTAAAATTTGTTAACAATTCAAAAACAGATTTATTGGAGATTCGATATTTTATTTTATGATAAAAAATACCAATAAAAATGCAAAAAGTGCAAAAAATGACGAATCAAAACATCTGCTGTTCTTAATGAATTACGTGAATTATTGTCGTCAACAAAGCATCGAATATAAAATGCCCGTTGTGCGGGAATTCATATTTTATCAATACGATTTCAAGAATAAGAGAAGTAATAACTTTTTTTTTGTTCCATGGCGCAAAGTCAGAAAACTACAAATCATGATAAAATTGAGTCTCGATCTTGACATTTTTAGAAACGTTGTGATTCGATGATTCTTGTGTGTTTTTTGATAAAATAAACCGATTGTGATCCGCATTAAACAATCGACTAAAATCAAAATCAAGATTTATACAAGTGTTAGTTAGGTATCATTTTGTAAGCTGTAAGGAGGCTAGTGAAATAAGGCATTAAAATGTTGCCATTTGTTTTCGAATTTGTCTGGTAATGTCGGTTAATTGCGTTGCCGGGGTTCATCACTTCGCAGTGAATTTAAACGTTTGACCCCTGTTCATGAATCGAAAAACGTTGTTCTTATTTTGTGCGTTCGTTATGTGTAGTTGGCACCGAAGTCAGCAGGTGCCATATGGTACAATTTTTGAGGATAAAATTTGTTGGAATTGCTCTTCGTCGGGGTTTTTATAATATAATATTGTTTTCCTATGTACGCGTATCTATGACTTGTCATGTGGTAACTTGATTACAAACATAATATTATCTAAGTGTACAATATGCACATAAATATCTATCGTGAGAGTTGGAACACCTTTTTCGAAAATTAAACACTTTTCCTTGCGTGGTATAACTTTCTATGTATATACCTATTATATATAATGTGTAATGTACAAATATTACATTTATTTATTATTTCAAATATTCAGAACCCTTTGTCATTATGAGATTTACATTTTAATCGCACCGGTGGTGGTGCCTACGCATGAAAAAAAAACCGATTGAAAGAAAATATTATTACGTACACACATTACTTTATAAAACGTACATTATTATACTCTCAGCGCGTGTACCGGAGGTATGTAATTTAAATACCACGCAAGCACGTGTGTGTCTTAGCGCATACCGCGTATGCAGGATGTTATCTCAAAACAGCGATTTATATATTATTATTTAGGTGCCTACGCTGCTCCTGTCGTTCCCATTCCCCGCCCTTCGGCCTGCGTTTACTCACCCCTCTACCACCACCCACCCACAAACACACAAACACAAACACACACACACATATACATACACACACACACAATCACTAGTGTCTCCGATAACAGAAAAAAAAATAATACAAAACCATCGATTATTTATACACACGTCACCGAATATGACGACGTCATCGTTCATGCCATTTTTTATGATGAAAATAATAAAAAAATAATAACGATATAATATAGTATTATTGTATACGTATATAATATACATATATAATATACATATATATATATATGCATATAAGTATTACGAGTGAGAAGTCACCGAGACCGAGGGCCGAGCACACCGCCGCTTCTCGAGATTTACGTGACCGCTACTACGAGCATGGCTGCAGCGGCGATCAGTGCGTAACCAAGGTTCAGCAGCGGGTTCGTGTTGTTGGTCTGCTTGGACGACCCGTTGTCGGACAGCACGCTGCTGGCCAGTACGATGGCCGCTCCGCTCTTGGCACCACCCGTCGCCGCCGTCCTGGTCACGGCGTTCGTGTCCACCGAGCAGCCCTGGAGTCGGCAAAAATATAAAACAAAAACATAAAAACTGCGTTTGGGTATTTGGTGCTAAGGCACATTTTTTTTTATGAATTCAGACGGTTTTTCAAAAATCAATAATTTATAATTTTTTTTTTTTTTAATTTTCCTTTTAAACGCTCATCTCGGTTCCGTTAACGTTTTATATACGTAAACGTCGATTTGATTGACGAACCAATAACACCATAAAATGTAAACATTTAAATGGAAAACTTTAATATGGGTTGTAGTAGGCATAGTTGAGTCCCGACAGTTGAGTGCAATAAACAATTATGTAAAAATGCTTGAAAAATATCAGTAGGTAATAGGTATATTGTAAGTATAATATGTTGATTCTTTTCAAAATAATAATAAAAAAAATAAAGATTCTTTTCACTGCTAAAAAAAATCACAACGAATATAATTTAAAGTAGGTCGGGTTCACAACACTGCAGCATTAAGCATAATTAAAAAAAATCATCTTTGTCAGTACCATAGTATTGTAAGTTTTATATTTTTCTGAATGTTGACTGATAATTTAAATGTTGTGTATTGTAGTTGAATAGTATTTTCAACATTTGATGTTAGTTATTCTAATGCACAGACGGTCTTAAGCTATTGAACTTTAAATTTGCTTTATTTTCTAAGTATTAAATAGTATGATATAATTTAGTAGATTTATAGTGCAGTGATTGAATAGTTGTTATTCTATTTGAGCTATTAATAATATAATATTTGTTCAGTTACCATGCAATGTATGTATATTAAATCTTTCAGAACACGAAACGAGGTTTTCTGTTTATAACATTGTATACCTAATGAAATACTTAGATAAACATAGAAGGTAAAAAATTCAATATGTAACGTAATATAAAATATAATGTAAGTACCTATAAATAATAAGTAAGTACTTAAAAGTTAAAATATTCATGTACCTATAGTAAAACACATCATTTTTTAGGAGAGTAAATTCGATATTTACACACTTATCGAATTATATAATAAAGCTAAGTATAATATAATATGAAAACTCCGGAAGAGAAAACAATATACTAGAACAAGCAAAAATGAACAACAAAATAATAAATTGTTAAAAAAAAATTAGATTTATATGAACTAATTTAGTAATATATTTAAAAAAAAAAATTGTAAAAAGAAAAAAATAAGTATAACATTATTATTAAAAATTGTAATATGGGATATGGACTGGTATCTAACAGGTTAGCCTACTTTATTTTCCTTTTTTCTTGTATTAAAGTTAAGTGAGATAACGTGAAAACACAGTTCGCCACCCTCTATAGAAAAGAAAAACTAGAACAATAATCGGACTTCCAAACACCTCGCACGAAACTATTGTCGGAAAATCGCACGCGTTCAATATATTAAAACACACCAACAATACATTTTGCAAAAGATCGGCGAACTAGCTTACACGCGGAGTAGGGTTGAAATTCCGGGCCGCAACACAAATGAGACGCGTAGGTACAATAATAACGATTATTTTCAAGACGAATAATTCGTAATTACTGTGAAGCGTTTATGTCGAGTTTTTAGCGGTGCAACAAAATGCTGGACCAAGTTAAATACATGCATAATATTGTGTATTATTATATAGATAACACCACCATTGGGGTTGTTACAGAAATGAATAACATTTATCTGTTAACAGCGAACTTGGAGCACCTTTTCAATTGAGGTTGAAATACGCGCTACTCGTTTATTTGACCGTGTAGGTAGCTCACCCGTTTTAATTCACCACTCCAGGGACCCTCGGTCGAATTTTGTAAAATATGACTAAGGTTAGGTGGACAGTGCAGATGTGGACTGTACGGTTCACATGATACGTTTTGTGACGCATAAAATCATTTTTAATCATCCAACGCAAGAAAATCCCACAGCACTGTTAAAATGTCGAATCTCGAATGATATCCGACGGCAGTAGTATCTAGTTATTATATCGCTCACTATTATTATTGTTATTATTATCATTCTGCATTTTTACCTATAGGATAGATAGCAACGTTTTTGATTAGTTATTTCTCTCAGCGAAAATACCGAATTTAGATTAATGAATAATGAGTAAACTTTTAGTTTGTCGAAAATAAGTTTAACAACATCTCCCGCCTGTAAATTTCGAAGCGATCTCTTTGTATAATTAAAAGCACCTTTCTTGTTTGAAAACAATTTACTGTAGATCAATAGTTTAATATATTTTAATTTATTAAGTTATTATTTATAGATAGTATTTTCATTATTCACATTATATTATTGTATGTCATATAAATACTGACAATTATTGTTATTGCTCAAAATTACTTAAAATAGCTAAGTAAATTAATAAATCATGTTTGAACTTCAACTCTGTAAAATATAATATTCCATCTAGTAATGGTAAAATAATTTATTAATAATTTTATTTAACTAGGGGAAAGGTAAAAGTGTAAAACTTACCTACCTACATAATATATTTGTATTATTCAATGGCAACAAATCATTCCATAATCTTGTACAATTTCAATGAATAATTTTCTATATTAAAGTAATATTATATCTTATAATAAGATAATTTCGTATAACTGTAAATATCAATAAATTAGATGAATTTGCCAGGAAAACTTAAAAAAAAAAAGAAAACTTCATTATGATTATTATGATCCCTATTGTTTTGGGCCATTAGGTTATGATTTATAATATAAAAACAAACAACCTACCTACGCGATTCCGTAGATACTTATACATGATATATATATAGTATTCCTATCTAGTATGTAAGTCTTAAATCCATATTTAATAAAATAGCCAATGTTTTAGAATATTTCGTTTGTCGATAAACCAAGCTTCATCATATAAACTATTGTTCATTGATTGTTTTATGTTACACAATTTTAAGCGTGACACTGTTACACTTTAATTTAAATACCAATGGTTTGTATTTTGTAGGTAATTTCTCATTATTATTTGCGATATAATAAGTGAGAAATGTCTACAAATCGTGTATAGTTTAACAGCAGAAAAGCGGGCAAGCATTTAACGTCCTGCCATACAGATGTAGGTATTGAATGTACCTCATCCTTGAGTAGGTCACTGTAACGGGTGTGTTTAATTTGAATTCAAATTATGAACAATTGCATGCGAAAAACGTTTCTAAATGGGAACTGTCTCTCAGCCTTATTAGTAATTATTAACAAGTACCTATATTTTATTATACGTTTATATCGCTATTATAGTAATTTATCTTATTACCTATTATTATAATATCAATTACAGGAGGTTGAATTAATATTTTCGGAGAAACATCCCATTTATTAGGTATATTATTAACTATTATAATAAAAGAATTTATTTTTTTTTATTAAAAGAAGCCTCGACGATTATGGCCATTGACTGAATTAAATTAACATACGTTTACGCTTTAACTTAACACTTTACATTTTACATTGGGAACATATACAAATTACAAACGAATAATTAAGTTAGACTTAATAATACATTTTGTCATGCATTTTAATTTGTGCTGATGGAGAGATTTTGAGTTCTGACATAATGTTGGATACTCCTGCTTCTTATCTCTTTATTTTGAATGTAAGGCATTAGATTATAGTGGTACAAAAAGGCAACAGCTAAATATTATCATTGTGTATATTGTGAAATATACAATTTTAAATGTTTCAAGTTTCATGTCACCACGAATAATATTTTTAAACTCAATCAAAATAACTTAAATAGCTATTCTAGTTTAAATATCCAATTTCATCAAAATATAAACTTCAATGGTCTATAAAAAAAATTGTACCTAAGTATATATTAATTTTTAGATTTTTGGATTTCAGTAAGAAATTCTTATGAGAGAAATCTTGTACTAAATTTTCAAGTAAGTATAAAAATTGAACATTTTATACATTTTTAACTAAATTTGCAAAGTTTTATGTAGAAAATAATAAAAAAATATAGAAATTAGAAAATGTCTGTTTATGTCACAAAAAAGGTTGAAATATTTTTGGAAATTAAATCATGTTACATTAATATAATATGGTAATATTTGTGAACATTTAAAGTATCTACAGTTATTCGTTTTCAAATTACAACAAAATAATTTGTTTTGTATAACAATTCTCGTTTTGCCAATTATTTGAAAAGTACAGGGAATTGTTTACTTTTGATCGTCCGACATACTCACTAGATTCACTTTTATCAGAAAATATATTGAAATTGAAATTTGAAGCATTTTTCTATTATAAAAAGTGACTTCAGACACAAAAAAAACACGTCATACGTAAAATCAACATATTCATCTCAGAATCTAAAACCAAAAACTAATAGTATTTTGTGTAAATATTTTCTAAGCAGTGATGTCAAATATTATGTTCAAATAAAAGTAAACAATAAAAAATATTCTCTGTTTAAAAGTTAGAGAATAAAATGTTCTAATATTATCAGAAGCTGATTGACATTATTGAAATAAATTACCCTGGTCCTGTATGCGTGATTAAAAAAAGTAGTTCAATGCAATTAATATTTTAAAGCACTTTGGCTCTATTTCGTCTAAAATATGTTAAGATCCATAAATTACTATTTAACAGTTTCGTAATTTATCGATGGCAATGCAACATGGCTTACAACATCATAATAGGTACCTGGTACATATTTTACTATCAAAACCGAATATTAGCATAACATTATAAATAACGTAAATAAAAATACGAACTTTATAAACAAATATAGAATTTTATGTTTTTCATATATCTTGAAAATAGACTAAAAAAAAGTTATAAATATAGATAAAAAGTACCTACATAAAACGTACTCACAGTAAATTATAATATCCGTGGACCACAGTCATCTTATTTACGTTTTGTGAAGTTTATTTTTTCGAAAAAAAATCGTCGTTCCTAACTCACCTGTAAGCATTTTTTATTTTTATTTTTTGCTATTTTCATGAACCACCTAACAAAATCATATATTTATTTCAAACTTGTTTACAAGAACGACACTTC